AACTATGGAAATCTGGATAAAGTATGGACTTCATTAATAGTGCATCAATATTAGTTTATCAACTCTGACAAGTGTACCATACTAATGCAAAGTATTCACAATAAAGAAAACTGGGTACAAGACACATGAAAACACTCTAGATTATGTATGCAGTTTTTCTGTAATAAAAAGTTTATTTTTTATAAGTGAGCTGGGGATCTCCTATTTTCAGGACTAGTTTGTGTAATAGAACTTTCAACAGAAAGGTATAAGCGGTCAAGTAATTGACATAGGTTGATATGAACATTTCTAATACAGTAAGGGTAGTAATAAACGCTGCACTGCTCAACAAATGGTGTTGAAAAATTAGCGATTAATTTGGGGAAAAATTTATCTCTGATCTCTACCTCATGCCAAATTAATTCCACCTGAAATTTATAAAAATTTACATTAAAAAAACTATAAAAGTTCTAGAAGCTAATGAGAATGAATATCTTCATACTCTTGGGGGTAGGATGGACCTTTTTTATACATACCAATATTTAAGAAAACACTGAAGTGTTAAGGACAGAAGAGACCTCTCAGTAAACTGAGTCTGTGACATTTCAGCACAAGATGAAACAACCCCCAGGATGAATAGAAACATAATCTCAAAGAGTTTGTTAAAAAAAAAAAAAAAAAAAAAAAACTGAACGGTACCTATGAAAAACAATGGTGGCATTTATTTCCTGGAAGAGGAAATTAAGAACAAAGAAAACAAATATAAAACATCTAGTACGCTGAAGAAAGTTTCCAAAAATAAAGATCTGAGTTAATAGAACAAATAAGCAGACAATATTGATTTAAAAAAATAATAACAATGAAGTAACATGTCCAAGTTAACAGTAATTAGGTAACTACTGGTGGGGATGGACTTTGGATCCAGACTGGTCTCACTTCCAAGCTCATGTTATTTCTGTTTCTACATATGTGCTCAATTCGTCATTAAAAAGAAGTCCTCTTATTTTTAGAAGAAAATGCAATGTGGTACCCTGTACTGGATCTTAGATCAGAAAAGGGGCATTGCCAGAAAAACTGCTCTAATAAAGTCTCAAGCTTAATTAATAGTAGTATACCAATGCTAATCTCTTAGTTTTGACAACTACATAGTTATGTAAGATGCTAACGTTAGAAGAAACTGAGTAACGGGTGGGTAGATGTGTAACATTTCTGTAAATCTAAAATTATTTCAAACTAAAAAGTTTATTAAAAAATAAAAGAAATCTTGGCTGGGCATGTTGGCTCATACCTGTAATCCCAGCACTTTGGGAAGTCAAGGCAGGTGGATCATCTGAGGTTGGGAATTTGAGACCAGCCTGGCAAACATGGTGAAACCCCATCTCTACTAGAAATATAAAACTTAGCTGGGCATGGTGGTAGTGCCTGTAATCCCAGCTACTTTGGAGGCTGAGGCAGGAGCATCGCTTGAACGTGGGAGGCAAAAGTTGCAATGAGCTGAGATCATGCCACCGCACTCTAGCCTGGGCAACAAGAGCGAAACTCCATCTCAAAAATAAAATAAAATAAAATAATTAAATAAAATAAAGTAAATCTCTCAAAATGCTGCCTTGGGGCTATCTTAAAACTTGTAAGTGTAGAGATTTATTGCATAAAATCAAATTTTAAAGAGGGCATCCCTTGTGTTAAAGACTTTGATTATAACAGCTTTGTTGATGACTTTAAAAATAGATACCAGTCTTAATTTAATTATATAGCTTCTCTGTAAAGACAGCTTGACTTCTTCCATACCATTTTACCTTTCACATGAATAAAAGTATAGAAAACTGTAAACAATAATCTCTGAATACACACAGTAATCTAGTTGTGATGAACTATTTTCCATTTCTGCTATAGACATAACAAAAGTTCTGTGAAAAAAAACCCTTGTAACAGCAATAATTAAATTTAAAGGATTAATAGAACTGCCTAATTTTTTAGGAGCTGTCAGATACTGAAAGAATCAGGACTTCAAAAATAAATGAATTTTAGGAGCAGAGAAGCTGATGCATATAATTAAATGGAAAACTCAGAGGAGTTTGACTATGTAAAGGAACAGGGAGAAGAAGTTACTCAGAAAGAGGGAGAAGAGCTAAAATAAAGACATTAATGAAAATCAGGGCTTATGGTGTCTCCAAGGAATTGACATGTGACAAATCATGGAATGGGAAGGGAGATGGTAAGAATATGAATAGTATTAAGTTCAATCACTTAGTACTGGGGCCTTGCTAGAAGTCTTCTGATCATTCCTATCTCCCAAAGCCTGAGTCAGGGATCCATTGGGACCCTGAGGGTGCACCCATACCTCCCATCCTCCCTACCTCCCAACCCCCATCACTTTTTGCTTTCTCTTTTTACTCTTCACCCTCTCCCCTCAATCCCCTCAAGCCAGGCCTGCCTGCCTGCAGTTCCCCTGGCACTCCAGGTCTTTGCATGTGCTAATATCCCTACTGGAATGCCCCTCCCCCCAACAACCCCATGGTAAAAACTCCTTCACCTCCTTCAGGTTTTGCTCAGATATCAACTTTTCAGTGATTTACTACTATACATGTTCCATTGATTGATTGATTGATTGACAGGGTTTTGCTCTGTCACCCAGGTTGGAATGCAGTGGTATGATCACGGCTCACTGCAACCTCTGCCTCCTGGGTTCAAGTGATCCTCCTGCCTCAGCCTCCCAAGCAGATAGGATCACAGGTGCGCACCACCATGCCTGGCTAATTTTTTGTATTTTTGTAGAGATGCGGTTTCCCTATGTTGCCCAGGCTGGGTTTAAACTCCGGAGCTCAAATGATCCTCCCAATACTATGCACATCCTATTTTAAATGTCCCCTACCCTGGCTCTTTTTTCTCATAGCTGCTTCTATGTCCTAACATTTTAATCATATCGAATATCTGTCTCACCAACCACTAAACTGTAGGGTGTCAGATTTTGCCTGTGTTCACTGTTCCTCCAGCGGCTAGAATAGTGCTGGGCACATAATAAATGCTCAATAAATATTTGTCCAACCAATCAATACAAAAGTGTGATTTTTCATTACCATAATTAAAATTAGAATAATGAAACATTCATAACTTTTCCAAAGTCATTTTTTGAGCAGTTGGGGGTAATCCTTGTACCTGTGTTTTCTGGGTATTTTCTACAATGAACTTCTGTAATGTTTTAAAAATGGGGATTTGTCTTTGTAAAATACTAGACTGCTGTCTGGGATCATTTCAACTCAATGTCAGAGTGAGAAAAAATCAAAGTTTGTTCTTTCAAGGCCTGTTCTTCTTATGTGCTTAAATAACATTTAGTTATTATCAGAAAGAGATGCTTATCATGAAAACTTTACATGAGCAAATGCTCAAAAGCATAATCCACGAAGTAAAGGAATCACAAAATTTCCACCTCTTCATTTTAACGGTAAGGCAACTGACCTATGAAAGTTACTTCCTCACATTCAACTAGAACATTGCTGATCAAGTGGTGAGCAGAAGCTAGTCCTAAACAAAAGATCAAAACACTACAGAATGACAAGCCCATCAGTATTTTGAAATTCAGGGAGAAGTCCAGATTGGAAATGCTCAGTCCACCATCCAACTAGACCTTTATTTTCTCCATCTTGTTTCCATTTCATTGCTCAAAGATGTTCATGAATGTTTTCCTTTTTTTTTTTTTTTTTTGTGTGTGTGTGTGTGTGACAGGGTTTTTGGAGTGCAGCGGTGTGATCTCGTCTCACTGCAACCTCCACCTCCCAGGTTCAAGCGATTCTCATGTCTCAGCCTCCCGAGTAGCTGGGATTATGGGCGCCTACCACCATGCCAGGCTAATTTGTGTATTTTTAGTAGAGACAGGGTTTCACAATGTTGGCCAGGCTGGTCTCGAACTCCTGACCTCAGGTGATCTGCTCACCTTGGCCTCCTAAAGGGCTGAGATTACAGGTGTGAGCCACTGCACCCAGCCATGAATGTTTCTTTGTATCATTTGAACATTCAAGATTCTTTTTGCATTAAGATAAACACTGTGATCACCTTCCTAAGTATTTTAGCATGCTCAGGGGCCACTGTGCCTTCCAGACACCTCTCAACATTTGGCCTCTTATTCTAGCCCTTTGATTTCCCTGCTGAGAGAAGTATGAGGTCAGCACATTTTACAAATTTCACACCCTTTTCAGTGGATGGCCTGTCCATTAACTCTCATGGAATCAAATGGAAGCAGTCATCAGGGTATAAAAATGTGCTACTTATCTAACTCTTTTACTGAAAACTTGCACACATTCCATTGTTTTGCCATAAGTGGGAGAAAAAATAAATCTGGTGCTGTATTTTTGTTTCAGAAGTAGCAACAGCAGTTACTCCACACATGCATTCCCCAGGTTCCCAGACAGTCATCTCTGATGTTATAAGTGGCACAGAGGCAGATACTTTGGCAAAGACAGTCTATGAAATGAAGTTGCTGTGGACCAAAACACTGAAAATATTGATTTTCAGTACAATTCAAACAACAAGGAAACATCAGTTTTCCAAATGGCACAAGCTGAAAAGGACAAGGAAAAATATATTGCAAATAGTGAAGAGAAGGAAAATAATAAAGACAATTACATTAGCAAACATCTTAGTGTTCTGAACACTAAGATGGTTGTTGTTTGTTTTTTAAGTTCAAAGAGCTGAGAGGGTTGAATTACGTTGAACTGTCACTCATTTACAGATATCGTGGTCATTGCTGGAAGTCTGGGAATCCAGGAAACTTCACGAAACAAAGCCTTAGCATCCTTGGACATCTGAACATCTTATTTAAAAGCTCATTTTTAAAAAATTAATATCTCTCACTCTGTTGGCAAATGGCCAGGCTGTATAAATTGTATTATAAATACATCATTTGCTAAAATATCATTAAGCTTGCTGCAAGCAAATATTTTCCATAGATATCCTTAATGAAGCAAAGTAGCTTTCAAGCCAGAGACCTCTGGATGCTATGGAATGAGAAGGCAGTCAGGACTTACCATGGCCCCCTCACTTGTTCTTTGGGCAACTTCTCGCTGCAGTCGGGCCACTGCCAACTTCTCCCTGGAGAAACAAAAGCACATGATTAGTTGACCATTCTCAGGGTAGAGGCGACACCGGCATGACCATGAAACATTCTTTTGAGGTCTCTAGAGGAATTCCTTCCTTGGTTTAGCTCACTTCCTCCACTATACTTTCTATAAATATTTAAAGTGATTGGTCCTGAATGCATTGTTTTCATTGAGTGTCATGAAAGAGATTTTTTTTTTGCCATGGATTTTTTTAGTAGCCAAATAAATGTTAAATACTGAGTAGATGCTCTGCTTTCAGTTCATTAACATATATCACTCATAAATACATTTTTCATGGCTATAGTATTTGTCTTTTCAACTTTGCTAATACATTTTTAATTATTTTTATTTCTTTTGTTGCTCTCTGTATCAATAATAAATATTAAGAAGCAAACAAAATGTAACTCCTTTCTATTTTTAACATAACAATAGAAAATCATTTGCATGCTTGCTACATAATAGGCACCATGCTGGGAATTGTACCTGTTCTCATTTGAGCCTGACAACAATCCAATGGGTGATTTCACTATGCCCATTTTATAGATGAAGAAGCTGAGGCCCAAAAAGGCTAATACACTGAGTCCTCAGCTGGTATATAGTATTTTTTTAGGATCAAATTTTAGATTTCCTTACTGCAAGCCCTAAACAAAAATTTTGCTTATCATTTTTCAGTATATAAAAATGTATGTCTAAAAATAAGATTATTTATTTTAGTATTCCTTATTTAACAATGGGATTCATTTTTAGATCCCTTATAATTCTGGTTCTACTTAAAATATATCCAATATTCACCAAAATTTTAAGAATACTGTTGTAAAGTGATAGATATTCATTTTGGACAGATTTTCAATTATTCTTTAAAATAGTGGATAGATGTCATAGGAGTAAATTAACTCTTCTGGTAATCCCTAAAATGTTAGTTTTATAAGGATTTCCCCTGATATTCTTCTACTACCATTCTACTATCAAGATGAGGAATTATTTGAGTGATATTTCATCTTTTAGTCTTCCATTTGCACAGGATCAGCTATATGCAAACATAGGGGAAGCAGCTCAATCCCTAGAAATGTTCCCACTGGGGAAAACAGAAGTGAAAATTTCTTCTTTCCTAAGTGCTTGGATCTTTGAATTGCCTACAGCTATCAAGAAGACCTGTGCTTTTGTTTGGTTGCAGCTGGGCAGTCTTTTAGTAGAAATAGTTCTCACTGAATAAATACCTAAAGGCACAGACTAGAAGAAAGGAGACTAGAATAGGAGACATTCCAGGCATACAAGTTTTGGGAGTCCGTGGCAGGATCTGAGTACACCTGTAAGAAGGGGCAGCAGAGTAGATAGGAAGTAGCCACGTGCCTTGCTAGACAGGCCAAGTAAACAACGCAGGAAGCCCCTATGTATTCTCTGACTCAAGTCCTAGTGAACAGATGAAAGGAGCTCAGCGAAAAGAATCAATGAAAGGAACAAAGAATTGAAAGACAAGGATGTGTGACTTCTGTTTTAATATGAAAGTTGAGCACATTAATCTCTTCTTTCCCAGAAACTGTTAAAATGTAGTATAGAGGTAACAATGGTAAATACTTATAAAGTCAAAGAAAACATGAGAATCACATGCTCCATACTCTATGAACCAGCAGTTCCACTCTGAAGTCTAAACTGAACAGAAATACAAGTATATGTTCACCAACAGACATGTACCAGAATGTTCATAATAGCACTTTAGTAACCTTATGAGCTGAAAATGCACATACTCATTAACAATAGAATAGATATGTCAACTTTTGCATCGTTATATGCTGGAATACTATATGACACTGAAAAGGAATAATCTACATTTAATCATAACAATATATAGAATACCGCAAATATGCTGTTGAGCAACAGAAGCAAGTACAAAAAAGTATATACTTTATTTCCTATTTAGATAAAATGCAAATAGAAGCAAAACTCCTATACAACTTGATAAGACAAGATAAAGAAATAAAAGACACGAATATCAAAAGGAAAGAGGTAAAACGGTATCTATTTATAGATGAAATTATTTTCTAAGTAGAAAATCTGATGGAGTTTACTATACAACTAAAAAGTGAATTCAGCAAAGTCAGCAGATAGAAGCCAATGTACAAAAATAATTATATTTTATATACTAGTACCAAACAATTGGAAAATAAAACTTCTAAAGCATCTATTTATAATAATGTCAAAAAAATAAGACATTTAGGAAATACATTTAGCAAAAGATTTGTAAGACTGCTATGCTAAAACTACAAAACGCTGCTAACCAGGATTAAAGGAAACTAATAGAAATATATACCACATTCATGGATTGAAAGATTTTATATTATTACACTGTCAAAATTTGTATCAAATAAATCTATAAATTCTTTTTAACTGCAATATGCAAATCTACTGAATAAAGAGAAAGACTGGGTAATGAGAAATAAGAAATCCAATAAAGAATTGAAATTTTTCTTTTCTTTTCTTGATATTTTTTTTTCTTTTCTTAAAAGAAGCCCCTGGACAACAGCTATGTAGAAATCCAGAGGAAAACCAATCTGGATTGCAGCAAGCGGATGGAGAGCCTCAGAAGGATGACTCTAAGAATAAAAGTTGAACCAAAATAGATTACCTATGTGTCTGTAAGTATTGAGAAGAGTTGTAGAGTTTTACTTCAAAGCTTAAGAACAAGAAAGTGGAATATGAAAACCTAAGCCAATGGAAGGAAGTGGCAATTATTAATGCTAGAAGAAAACAAAGTTATTCTAGAAATGCAATTCTAAACTTCTACTAGACTCAGCTGTGAATGACATTTACTTTGTTTTATCATTGTAATTATTAACTAAATCAATTTACAATTTAATAAAAAAATTAGAGAAAGGGAGGCATGGAGAAACAGGTAGTACAGAAACACTAAATCCTTATCTTCCATAATAGAAAGATAATACAGAATGTTTAAAGTGATCTAGAAACAGAAGTTCAAGCATATTATTTAGATACAAGGATGCAAAATGTGGAAGGTTTGATCTAAAAGAATGGAGAGAGGCTGTGTCAGGGGCGTAAGATGCAGAGTAGGAAAGGTGGGGTGTATATCATTGCATTTGATTTCCAAAGTATGTGCATATATGACTTTGATAAAAAAAACTTCTCAAAAACGTATATTTTTAAAACCAACTGGCCCATGTCATTTTTATTAAAAACATCATAGTAATACATTACTAGAAAGAAAAAGGATGACAGATTATTCACCAACTGAAGATTCAGCATCAAATGACTCATTTCCTTGGACTCGAGAGGCACCTATTGAGAAGCTTTGGTAAGTTAAGGCAAAACAAGAAGTAACTATAAGCAATGAGTCTTTGGACAAATGTTTTTAGGTGCAAACTGCAAACAGTCTAACATGTTACAGAGATATTTTAAATTTAAAATCTCTTTACTTTTTTAATGAAGTATACTGTATGCAGCAAAATTAAGAAATCATAAGAGCACAGCTTGCTGAATAATCACAAAGTGAATACGTCCCTATTGGTCCCACCTAAGCAAAAACACAGCAACACTGCCAGAACAGCAGCAGCAACTTTAATGCTAATAACAATTAACTTCCCACCACAATACCTGAACCCACTTGCCACACTCTTTTCTCTGTACGCTGAAACATGGAGGCATTTAACTTCTCATCTAAAGTATGGTAAACACATTGTCTCATATTTTACCCAACTGTTTATTCAATATATTTTTATTCTAAATAAGACCATAAATTCCTCCTTGACCAGAACAGTAGCAACCAAAAATGATGATCCATTCGTTTTTGCAGGTGGTCAGTTGTGGTGTAGTTAATATCTTACTGTAACAGCTGGTTGCCTGAGTGGAGATTATATTTAGCTCATCTCTTTAACAACTACTGAGGCCCCTTAGTAGGAACAAAATAAATATTGTGACTTGCTGAATGAGGAATCTAATATCAACTTGCCTAATATAACAGAATTTTAAATAATATTACCATTTTGCATTTACGTAGTACATAACACAGGTGTACTCCACACACACGCCCTGATTCCCACAGGGTACCCTCTAGTTCCAGTTGACCACAAAAGCTTTTTTACATACATCCTAAAATTATGAAAAGCACAACTTCCATAGGCCACCAGGTAAATATCTGACAAAGCTTCAACATAATAAATTCCTATGTAAGAGCAATGAATGAGGGGACTGTAGAACAGCAGTTCCGTAATATCTGAGTTCTGAGTTCCCAAATATTTGACTCTTTTGTAGGCAGAAAAAATGAGGATCCCAAAGAGCTTTTGGATTTATGGGTTATTATCTATTGTTACCACATATAAATAAAAATGTAATTTATTAAGATAGTTATTAAATCAGCAAAAAAAAAAAGCCAATAAACCCATGCCAACGTAAGTAAAACATTTTAATTATAAGTCATCCTAAACAGTAATTCCAAAACAGAAATACATTTTGAAAATAAAGGGAAAAAAATAAATTTTGTGAAAAGAGTGATACTGCTTTCGAATTCTGCAACTATCTTTAATGTCTGGCTTAATAGAAGACAGCTGCATTCTCATATCTGCTTCAGCATTTAATCTCTTATGATAGAACATGTCATGTGGCTTCTAGAAAACTCCACTCATGAAAGCTGAGTGAAAAAGGCAAATACCATCTTAGTGTTACGGCAAAAATAGTTTTGACCTTGCAGATCCCTTGACAGTGTCTTGGAGATACCCAGGGTCCCAGGACCACAGTTAGAGAACTTCAACTAAAAGACAGATACAGAACTACGAATGTAAGAATGTTCCAGAAAAGTGCCTTGAATCATCATTTCTAATTGTTCAAGCTTCAGAGAAAGATTTAATATATATGCTAATGGTATGTTAATTTTTCACAAGAGCAATGTAACATAAAAGAGACATTTCCAGGAACAGATCAAGAGTCTGTCTTATCCCCATCATCCTACTAAATGATAAAAGAATCCTAATACAGTGTAAATGT